CACAAGCTGGTGGACCTGGGCAACAAATATGGTGGGTCAGCTTTCTATGATTACCATAGATCCTTTTCTGCCAAGGTGTCTGGTTCTTTCTCCCAGTACGGGACAAGGTCCAACTGGAGCAAGATTGATACGGTCATTTTCTGCAGACACTTTGCAGGTCTAAGAACGCCGGCTTGTGCGTACTGCTCCTCCATGGCTCATACGGCTAATTTCTGTCCAACCACTGCGAACGAACCTGCCCCCTCGCAGGGCACTAGTTCTGCAGAAAAAACACCCAAAGACAAACTGGGACAGCCTATCAAGTTTCTGGGCATATGTAATAATTTTAATGTCGGATCATGTAATTACAGTGGATGTCGGCTATTGCATATATGTTTAAAATGTTACAGGGCTCATGCCAAAACCATGTGTCCTAATAAAATGTATCCTAAACAATACTTAATGTCGATAAACATTTCTGTACTTACGACATTACTGTCACATCATCCATCTAGACATTTGGTAGAATTAATTATATTGGGTCTATCAGAAGGATTCCACACAGGTCTCATACACATGCCTTCCGGAATCCTGGAATGTCCAAATTTACAATCCGCACAGCAAAATCCTACAGTGGTTGACACACTCATAGCCAAGGAAGTGGCAGAGGGCTTCCTATTGGGGCCCTTCCAGTCCCCTCCTTTCACCACATGGCGGACAAACCCCATCAGTATTGTCACGGGGAAATCTTCCCACAAACAGAGACTTATCATCGATCTTTCGGCACCACTCACCTCTGCCACTCCTAGTCTGACCTCCCTTATACCCTCTGAAGAATTTTCACTGCAATATTCCACCATAGATCACGCCATTACAGCTATCATGCAGGCAGGGGTCGGAGCATGGCTCAGTAAGACCGATATAACAAATGCTTTCAAGTTACTGCCTATCCACCCTACACTCTGGCACCTACATGGCATCAAGTGCGTCGGGAACTTCTACTTTTTCTCACGATTAACTTTTGGTTCCAAAAGTAGTCCAGCCATCTTCGACGTATTCGCCGAAACCCTATGCTGGTTATTATTAAATATAGCCAGATGCTCTACAGTCATACATTATCTGGATGATTTCTTACTGGTCGAGGAGAATACTTCCCATCAGTCTTTTCAAACAGTTGGGTGTCCCAGTCTCCCCCACCAAGACTGAAGGACCAGATACCTTCATCACATTCCTGGGTATCATACAAGACTCAGCCACCATGCAAGCGGGCCTGCCACGCACCAAGGTAGAAAACATTCTTACAAACATAAATCTCTACATACAACTCGGTACTTGCAACCGCAAAGAACTACAGTCTCTGCTGGGGTCACTAAATTTTGCTATGCGCATCATACCTCAAGGCCGTGCTTTCATCTCACGACTCCTTCACATGTTCATACTTTTCAGACATGATGCACACAGGTTATCCCTGGATACCGCAGCCACGGCAGACCTGCTCATGTGGAGAAACTTTTTAACCACCTGGAATGGTAAAAGTATGTTCCTCCCTAAATTGTCTGACTCCTCCATCTGGTCAGACGCAGCGTCTACCACAGGTTTTGCAGCAATTTACGGGAACGAATGGCTTTGGGGTAGCTGGCCTTCAGAAGTTAAGGACCTGGAGGGTTTTTCCACTACCTCAGCTCTGTTTGAGATATATCCCATAGTGGCGGCTGCCGTGGCATGGGGGCATTTATGGGCAGGTTCGCCAGTACGTTGCTACTCAGACAATCAAGCAACTTGCCACATTATTAACAAAGGCTGATCCAAATCACTGACTATTATTAGATTCCTGAGGAAACTCACTTGGTTGGCTGCATGTCATAATTTCTTCTTGTTTTGTGTTCATGTTCCAGGTGTATGTAACATGGCTGCTGACAATTTGTCTTGTTTTAATTTCCAGGCCTTTCATCAAATACTCCCGTCAGCCGCACTCACAGCCCACTCCACTATTCCACCATCTAGTAATGGACTAGACGCTATCATGCAACATAGCAGAACAGTGGCCCAATTAGCACGGTCTACTAATACCCGAAAAACTTACGACAGAGCTTTCATTTTATTTAAAAGATTCCTTTCGGAAAACAACATCTTACAACCTTTCATCATGACATCCTTGTTGGGCTTTGCTTCTTTTTGCCACCTCAAACTCAAATTATCATACAACACAATCAAGCTATATCTGACAGGCATCCAACATCACATGCTAACTTTACAACCCAACAGTTCGAGTTTCATGTCCGTCTACCAAATTTAGAACATCCTTAGGGGTATTCAGAGATCCGAACCTCCACGTACTGCCCAGAGACTACCTATAGATTTCCATATTTTTAAAGACTTATCCAACTTACTAGATTTAAAACCTTTTGCCAACAGCACAAATCTTGTCATTAAAACCGCCATATACGTAGCTTTTTATGGTTTCTTGAGACCAAGAGAATTTACCGCCATCAGCACAACACAGTCCACTTCATTCACACTTAACAAAACACACGGACTCATATCTTGACCCTGCCTCATTCCAAAACCAGTCAACATGCACCTCCAGTAGAGGTTAAGTACTATCCTACTCACAACAGGTGGTGCCCCGTCAAACTACTGGATTCATATACCCAGCATAACAACGCATCACCAGATCAACCACTTTTCAGTCTACAAGGTTCTGTACTCACTACCACCACCTTCATGACACACGTCAGGTCCTTACTTACCCAGCTGGGCCTCAATGCCTAATAATCCACATGGATACTTCATGAAAAATATATCATAAAAGGCAGAAAAATACTACATAAGTGTAGACAAATTTAGTATAAAAAAAACAAACAAACAAAAAAAAACAACAACTTTAAATTGAAAAAATATTTAACTCGAGATTAAAGGAAAAGAAAGAAAAAAATTCAGGACAGCTGGACAAGATTCACATGTTTTTTATTTACTTCAGCAACAGTGGTATACAAAATAATTAGAAATGTTTAGCTACTTGTAATGATCAATTTGATGGTTAATTTTACTTTAAAGAAAGTCAGTACATTTATAATGTTCTCATTTACTGTGCTAGTGTATAGAGTACTTTACAAGCTGTGAGGAGTCTTTCCTTGCATTACTTATAATTAATAGAGATGTTGCTCTCTTATCCCCTGAAAATACAACACACCAGTAAATAAAGACTACATATAGGTCTTTAAGGAATTGTTCTTGTTCGCAATCTGTTTTTTTAGCCAGATCCTTTAGTCACTAAAACTGTCAGGCTTAATTAAGAATTATAGAGAATAAATATTTCAATCCTATAAATCTATGTTTGGCAAAAGTAACTCGGTGTCTGAGTGAACATTTCTTTTTTAAAGTAGCAATATCTTTGCTAGTGAAACCTAATTTAGGCTTTTGATATAAACCTTTATGCTATAAGTGGCCTTATAACTTTTCCCTTACAAAACAGCCCTTATCACATAATTTTGATTACACATTCTGGTTTATTATGGCACTTAGAATAGACTCTGGTGCTTTTATGATTGAAATGTTATTTGGCAGCAATTTTCATACATGTAGCCTCTTTAAGCAGACTCATTTCTAAATATTAGTCTATAACACCTGCTGTTCCGATTTAGACCAAGAGAAATTATCGGCATCAATCAAAAATGATTAGTGGCTATTATTTTGTGTAGTCTGAAAGCCTAGCACTTCAATGCTATTTACACACAAGTAAAACGATATACATGAAGATAAAAAAAAAAAAAATAATACAATTTATGATTATTAAGTACTACTCCATATTGATCATTAGAATGGTCTGCTATACTGTACTCATGGGTGGCTGCTTAAGCATCTTTTTGATTGATCACACGTACCAAAATTGTCATCATTTTTTGGAATTATAAGTATTTTAAAAAAATACAAAATTATGCACAAATACTGCTAAGAGTCCCATTATCTTTCTTCGTGAAGTAACAGTAGTTTGTCACAAGCAAGGTCGGCTTGAGGTTCCTATGAGTTAATTGTACCTAGTCTGCACCTGAAATTTTGGGCTTCTTAAAATGTTGCTGCTAGTGTTTCCTACTGCCTCAGCAGTATAATGGCATCTAGATGTCTGTTTATACTGTGTAGGACAGGGGTAGTCAACCTTTTAATTCATACCGCCCACTTTTGTGTCTTTGTTGATGGTAAAATTTCCTTACTGCCCACCAGTGCCACAGTAACCAATTTTATAGTGCAAGTCCGATTTTATTTAAAAAAATTTTTTTTATTATTTTAGAAAGGAGGGTTTTAAAAAAAATGTACTTAAATGTATCTATTTTTTTCTATTTTCTATTATACTTCTTTTATATGTGTGTCTGTGAGATACTGTGTGTGTGTGACGGGTGCAGTGTGTGTGTGACGGGTGCAGTGTGTGGGTGTGAGGATTGCTATGTGTGTCTGAGGTGTAGTGTGTGGGGGCAGTGTGTTTGAGGGGGGCACTGTGTGTGTGTGTGTGTGTGTATGAGAGAGAGGTGATGTGTATGTGTGAAGGGTGCTGTGTGTGTGTGTGTGTGTGTGTGAGGGAGGCAGTGTGCGTGAGGGTTGCACTGTGTGTGTGTGTGTGAGTGGTGCTGTGTGTGTGTGAGAGGTGCTGCATATGTGCGGGTGCAGAAGGTGTGTGTCAGGGGGGCACTGTATGTGTGTGTGTGTGTGTGTGTGTGTGTGTGAGAGGTGCTGTGTGAGAGGTGCTGCATATGTGTGGGGGCAGTGTGTGTGTGTGTGGACAGGGGGCAGTAGATGTGTGGGTGGGGGGCAGTAGGTGTGTGGGCGGGGCAGTGTGTATGGATGAGCTACTCCCTATAATCAGACAGGCCAGCAATATTAAAATCTTGAATACACTGTCAAAAATCCAGTTCCTACACACCGACACACTGATAGCCGCACTTTGTAAATCTTGTCTCCCACTGTTACAGATAGCAGCCAAATCTCGAATACCACTCCACTGAAGATCTCCACAGGTCCCTACCATAGCAGAATGGAGGAACAAAATGGACAATATCAAGAAAATAGAAGAATCAACAGCTTTCTCTTTTAACTGTCACACCAAAGTCATGGCCAAATGACTCTTTTGGGACACACATACCTCCAAAAGCAATAACACCAACCTCGAGTATACCTCTAATGTCAGCACAAAACACACATACCAGTGCATAACAAATTCTATTTTATTTTAGTTTGTATTACCTTTACAATGTCTGTCTATGACCTACCACTACGAGCCAATAGCCATTTGAGTCAAATCAAAGCATATAATATGCGGCTCTTCACTATGCTTGAACAATCACCCTTTTAATGTTTTCTGTTACTTGCCTACCATGCCTTAAAAATGCATACCAATATGTAATGTCCTTTTCTTTGCAAATATCATTATATCATGCTTCATACCATTGAAATGTTCAATTATTTTCAAATTTTATCATATACTTATGCTTTGTGTTTCTGTCATTCTCAATAAAACTTTATAAAATATATATATGTATTTTAAAAGCTTATCCAAAAATATTAAATCTTTAAAAGGCTTAAACAAACATATTAAATTGAGGCCTTTATTCACTAAAAACTGAACTGCAAGAGTTGGGTGACAAAAAGCATAGTTGGAAAATGTTTCTATTTTCAATTACCTACAATAGACACTGTCTAAGGAAATGACTGTAAGAGAAAGATCCTGGTCTCTGTACAGGCAGTGTTTCTTTATATCTAAGTTATTCAGTGAAAAGAATCAACCTATAATTTATACATAAGTTGAGTGAATTCAGCCTTCATCCCAAAAACATTGGAGCACTGTTATAGGGGACATGCTAAGCAACTAAAACCATTCCTTAATTTTTAGTGGTTTTGGTGCATAGATGCTGCCCCTCTATTCTACCAATGTACTATAGTACCATAATAAGGAACAGCAATGTTTACATTTTACCTTAAAACACACATCTATCAAACAGAAGGAAAATCTCTGATTTTTAAAGGACTTCATGTACAACATAATGACACTGAAGATCATCGATATATGATCTCATGGTTGGTGGATGTGGTTGCAGCAATGAGACTGTGTCGCTATTGGATTACAGATAAGACTAATGGCTTTTTATAGGGTTTTTTTATAACAAGGGAGTAGCACTAGTAATCAAGTAATCTAAACTAAAAAAAGGAACACAAACGTAAATATAATTACTCTTACCAGAATGTTCCTTTTAGTAATTCATCTCCTTTAACAAGTGTGGACTTTTATATATAGACAAATGAATGTTACATTGAAAACACTTTAGCCCAAGGGGAATATGTGTTTAAGATTAATAGATGTACTATACCATTTTATTTTGAAGTCAATATTTCAAATGGTAAATCTTTGAGTAGTATTTATTCTGACTGCTCACTAACACATTTTAATGAGAGCAGCTGAGATAATCAATTTTGCGGTTTGATTCAATTAACTAGCCCTCACATTACTTCACCAGATGGCTCAAAACATTTGACTTTTATGAGGTGTCTTCTACAGAGCATAAAAGTAATTGAAAGGAACTTACTGGCATGTAGTTGATGTATACAAACATAAAGTTGAAACAATCAGAAGATTATCTGTTAAATGCTCAGATAAATTCACACAGCTGCTATGTAGAAGGTAAAGTTCTTCTGGGTTACAAGAAAATATAAAAATATATATATATATATAAAACTTGCTTTAAAAATGTGAGTAACATAGACAAATAACCTCATTCTGGTTACTGGATGTAGATGTTCAAATCAACACTCGATTTACCAAGTACTTGAATACTAAGTATTCAGGAATTGTCTAATCAAGTGTTTGTGTGTGATGAACATTGCTGTGAAAGTCTAAAACGTTTTATGAAAAGATGGACTGGCTGCCTTGTAATAACCATATATATTATTATGCATACACATTTGAAGTCATACAAAATGATTGACTACCGACCCTTTTATGGTACTGATCTCTAGAATGCATTTCTTTAAGGAGGCCTTGCTCTTGATGAAAGATATTTTTCTGGCATCAAGAACCAGTGGTGCAGCCATCCCACAGGCTTGTGGGAACCCATCGAGTGGCCCTAACTCTAATTGTTACTATGGGGGCATAATAGCTCTCTCTCTGATTAGGGATTTGTTCTCAGGGGCCTGGTCAGTGCTGTGGCCCTTTAAAAGTGCGACTGGGCCCCCTGTAATGGTGTCAGTGCGAGAGGAAGGTAGAGGAGGGGAGCGGAGTGGGAGAACCTCCTAATTCCAACAGCCTCTGCTCCGGACCCCAGGGAGCCACCCTCCTGCAAGGCAAAAAAAAAAAAGTTCCCCCATATGCCCTGCCCATCATGTTACATCACAATGCCCCGCCCATATGCTTTGCCATATGGGTCAATGCCAGTTCTGCACAAAATGTTTTTTTATCTGAAAAGACAGTGTGTTTACATTATAGCCTGTGCCTGTAGGCTTTTTAAACACCAAAACCACTACATTAAGCTGTAGTGCTTCTGGTGACTATAGTGTCCATTTAATGTGAGGTAAATTAGAGAGATTAGTACCATAGTGCCACTAATATATTGGATTGCCTACTTACCCTCCTCCCCTCTCCTTAGTGGTCCTTACTCTCTTTGCCCCCCCCCAGTGGTGCTTACAATCTTCCCCCCATCAGTGGTCCTCCCTCTCCCAAAGCCCTTAGTGGACCTTACCCTTACCCTCCTTCACCACCCCCTTAGTGGTCCTTACCCTTTTCCCCCCTTAGTGGACCTTCCCCCCCTCCTCCCTCAGTGGTCCTTACCCTCTTCTTTGTTGCGTGGACAGGTGGCGCAGACCGCAGTACAGGAACTTCTGTTTCCTATACCCAGCCGCCGGCGGTCTGAAGGGAAGCGCTCACTAAATGAGCATTTCCTGTCAGTCCACCGGCAGCCAGATACAGGAAACAGAAGTTCCTGTCCCACGGACCGCCACCCGGGCTGGTGCGCCCTAGGCAACTGCCTAAGTTGCCTATAGGATGATCTGGCCCTGCCTGCACCTTAAAGGTGAGAAACAGGAGGGTGGCTTCAAATGTGTACATTTTGTATGCATGTGTGTCTGTGTGTGTATCTGTGTATCTGCACGTGTATCTGTTGGGCCGGTATGTGTATCTGTGTGTCTGTTTGTGTGTGCATGTGTGTCAGTATGTGTCCCTGTGTATCTGAATGAGTGTCATTCTGTGCATCTTAAGGTGTCATTCCGTGTGCCCCTGTATCTCTATGTGTGTCTGTTTATATGTATGTGTACTAGTGTGTGTCTCTGTATCTGCATTTGTGAATCTGTGCATCTGTCTATCTGGATGTGTGTCAGTGTGTGCCCCGTTATGTCTGTGTATCTATGTATGTCTTTGTGTGTCTGTGTATCTGCATGTCTGTACCTTTGTATGTGTGTATCTGTGTGTCAGTACTTGCATCTGTTTGTGTATCAATGTGTGTATCTGGATGTGTGGATGTATTGTTTTGTTATGCATTTAAACGTCAACACTACATACAGATACACCCCATGCATTCTAAGGCAAATACTACACACAAGAAAACTACATTTTTCAAATCGCTACAGTACATAAAAACACACAACACTACACACAAGCTCCTGCATTCACTCACTCATTCTCCATACAAAAGCATGCCTGCATTCAAACGCACAAACATTGCTCAATGCTAAATACAACCCTGCAAACAGGGCCGGACTGGCCCACCGGGATACCGGGAAATTTCCCGGTGGGCCGTCGGCACCTGGGGCCGGGCAGCCAGCTGGCTCCCCTGCGGCCGCAGAGGGAGCTCCTTTGGCGGCCGCAGGGTTTGCTGGCTGTTCTTGCAGCCGCAGGGGGAGCTGGCTGTTGTGTCTCTGCTCCCCCTCCCCTGCGCGCCGCTTAATGAGACCGGGGCCGGAGTATGACGTCATACTCCAGCCCCAGTCTCATTAAGCGGCGCGCAGGGGAGGGGGAGCAGAGACACAACAGCCAGCTCCCCCTGCGGCTGCAAGAACAGCCAGCAAACCCTGCAGCCGCCAAAGGAGCTCCCTCTGCGGCCGCCAGAAGAGCTCCCCACAATTGTGTATGTGTGTGTGTGTGTCTGTGTCATTTGTGTGTGAATGTCTGTCTGTGTCAGCAATGTGTGTCTGTGTCATTGTTTGTGTCTCTGTGTCATGGTGTGTGTGTCACTGTCTGTCATGGTGTGTGTGTGTCTGTCTGTGTCATTGTGTGTGTGTCACTGTCTGTCATGGTGTGTGCGTCTGTCTGTGTCATGCAATGTATGTCTATGTCATGGTGTGTGTGTGTCTGTCATGTAATGTGTGTGTCTGTGTCACGGTCTGTGTCTGTGTCACAGTCTCTCTGTGTCGTGGTGTGTGTGTCTGTGTGTCACGGTCTTTCTGTGTTATGGTGTGTGTGTCTTTTTTAAGGTGTGTGTCTGTCATGGTGTGTGTGTGTGTGTCGGTCTGTGTCATGGTGTGTCTGTGTGTTTCTGTCTGTGTCACGGTCTGTCTGTGTCATGGTGTGTGTCTGTCATGGTATGTGTGTATGTGTGTTTTTACTCACTCTTTTTTCACTTTATGCTGGTCTCCCCTCACCTGGCCCTGCCTCTACGGCTGAGATCATCAAGCTTGATGATCTCAGCCAATCCGCACTGACACAGGAAGCACCTCTAGTGACCGTCTGAGTGTCTGTCACTAGGAAGCAGTGTAAACACTGCCTTTTCTCTTAAAAGTCAGTGTTTACATTGAAAAGCCTGCAGGGACAGGCTATAGACACCAGTACCACTACATTAAACTGTGTGTGTGTGCGCGCGCTTGCTTGTGTGTGTGTGTGTGTGTGTGTGTGTGTGTGCCTGCTACTGAGTGAGCTTGTGTTTTTATGTCAATCACCTTATGTATGAGGCTGTGTATCAATCAGCTTGTGTCAGTGAGATTGTCTGTGTATGCATGTGAGTATGCTTACTGTATAATTAAAAATTTTACTCTGAAAGGACCAATATTTTATATTGGAAAAAGATTATATAATTATAATATTTCCAGAGATAGCACTCCAAGGACTAATAAAAAATATAACTTTTATTACCTCCACTAAAAACAACACAAGGTCAACGTTTCAGCTTGATCCCCTCAAGCTTTCGTCAGGACATCTCCTGACGAAAGCTTGAGGGGATCAAGCTGAAACGTTGACCTTGTGTTTTAGTGGAGGTAATAAAAGTTATATTTTTTATTAGTCCTTGGAGTGCTATCTCTGGAAATATTATAATTTTTGCATTTTTGGCTGACAAGCACTGGGCATTGAATATTGAA